GTCAAGTATGTGGTTGATTTTTGAGAAGGTTCCATGTGGCTCTGAGAAGAAGGTGTATTCTTTTTTATTTGGATTGAATTTTCTATAGATGTCTGTTAATCCTGGTTGGTTCTTTTGCTTCTTTGTTAAGTTTCTGTCTGGTAGACCTGTGTAGTGGTGAGAGTGGGGTGTTAAAGTTTCCCACTATAAAGGTGTGGGGCTTTATATGTGATTTGAGTATTAATAATGTTTCTTTTATGAACATGGATGCCTTTCTATTTGGGGCATAGATGTTCAGAATTGAAACTTCATCTTGGTGGGTTTCTCTTGTGATGAGTTTGAAATGACTTCCTTCATCTCTTTTGATTAATTTTATTTTAAAATCTAACTTGTTAGATATTAGGATTGCTACCCATGCTTGTTTCTTGGTTCCATTTGATTGGAAAATCATTTCCAAACCCGTAAATCTGAGGTAATGTCTGACTTTGAGGCCTAGGTGTGTTTCTTGTTTGCAGCAGAAGGATGGGCTCTATCTTCGAATTCATTCTGTTAGCCTGTGTCTTTTATTGGGCTAGTTAAGACCATTAATATTGAGGGAAATTAATGACCACTGATTGCTCATTCTTGTTTGTTTTGGAATGGTGGAATTATATGTAGTTTCCACCTCTTTTTTCTTTTGTCTGTTGCTAAGGTAGGATTATCTAGTGCCTATGTTTTTCTGGTCACAGTTAATTCCCTTGGGTTGGAGTTTTCTTTTCAGAAACTTCTGTAGGGTTGGGTTAGTTGATACATATTGTTTAAATCTGGTTTTGTCATGGAATGTCTTCTTTTCTCCATCTATACTGATAAAAAGCTTTACTGGGTATAGCTGTCTGGGTTGGCATCTGTTTTCTCTTAGTGTTGGTAGAATATCTATCCAGGACCTTTTGGATTTTAGAGTTTCCATGCAAAAGTCATGTGTGATGCCATTAGGTTTGCCTTTGTATGTTACCTGGCCTTTTTCCTTGATGCTCTTAATATCCTTTCTTTATTCTGTATGTTCGGGGTTTTTAATATTATGTAGCAAGGGGACTTCTTTTTGTCTTCCACTCTATTTGGTGTTTTGTAGGCTTCTTGTACTTTCATTAGCATGTCTTTCTTTAAGTTGGGAAAGTATTCTTCTATGATTTTGTTGAATATGTTTTCTTCCCCTTTGAAGGGGGTTTCTTCACCTTCTTCTGTCACTATTTTTAGGTTTTGTCTTTTCACAGTGGACGTTATATTTTCTTTTTTCAATGAATATATTTCTCCTAGTGTATATTCAACACCTGAGATTCTTTCTTCCAACTCTTATATTCTGTTGGTTATGCTTGCTTTTGTAGTTCCTGATCATTTACCCAGCTTTTCTATTTCCAGCATCCCCTCCATTTTTGTTGTCTTTATTTTGTCTATTTCAGTTTTCAGGAACTGTTTCCTTCATCTATTTGATTGTTTTTTCTTGGCTTTCTTTAAGAGATTTGTTAATTTCTTGTATTTTGGGGGTTATTTTTTCTTCCATTTCTTTAAGGGATTTTATTATATCCTCTTTGTGGACTCATATCATTTTCATGAAGTTGTTTTTAAGGTCATTCTCTTCTGTTTTATCTGTGTTGGGATGTTCAGGTATTGCTGGTGTAGAGTCCCTAGACTCTGGTGGTGTCATATTGGTTTTTCTGTTGTTGAATGTATTTTTATATTGTCTTATTGCCATCCTTTCTTCCAGTGGGTGCAGTAGGAGTCTCTTCCTATCCTGGTGGGTACGGGACCAAGATTCCCTTAAGGTGGTTGCAAGCAAGTCCAATACCCTGATGGCTTTCCTTTCCTGTGGATGGAGGTGGGCCTTGGCAGTCAGTATGTTGCTTGGACACTGGGATGGCTTCCCCAGTGTGCAATACCTAGGCCTCAGGTGGCTCCTAGCAGGATACAGGAAGCCTTAGTAAAGAATTCTATTGTGAAACTTGGATTGTAATTTATCAATACAGGACTTGTTGAAGGAGCAATAAAAGATATAATGGGGATTAGTTTGTCCTTCAAAAATTTGTGCTTAGAAATGAACGGAGATTCTTACCTACAATTCTTTTTTACCCACTTGAAGCATTATAAGAACTTGGATTGCACATATCAATCATTTTATTTGATGATCAAATAATTGCCATATGTGCATGCATATATATTATGCAGCTGTGTGTGTGTGTGTATACAGAATACATTGTCTAGGTACTTTGAAAGCAAACATCTTGTCCTGAGAATAGAAACTGTTAGTATGGTTATTTCTATGATGAATATCTGTTTAAACATTTATACTTTGTGTGAAGTTTAAATGCTATATTCTGATTTTATAACATATGATTGGAGTACATGTTGCTGTTTTTAAATCATAAGTGCTGGGGATATGGCTCAGTGGGCAGGAATGTTATTGTACATGGCTGAGGACCTGGTTTTTTCCCCAGCACTGACATAATAAGCCAGGCGTGCATGGCAGTAATGTCAGTGCCTAGAGGTTATGGTGATGAGAGGAACACCATTTGTATTTGCTGGTTGAGAGAGAGCCTTGACTAGAAATAGTTTAATCTAGGTTCAGTTAGAGAACCTGTATCAATAATGTGGAGAATTATAGAGAAAGATAACAAATATCCTCCTGTTACTTCAGCATGTGCACATAGGCTCATGAGCTCCTCTCCTGCACATAAATACATACATATATATATATATATCACACACAAACATAGTATATTTTTAAATTATATAATCCTGGGCACACTGAAAATTCCATTGTTCATTGAACATAAGTTTTTAATTATTGCTTTCTAAAGATTTTTTTAAAAATTGCATCATTAGATTAAACTTAATTTTCAGGAATTTACTGAAAGATACTTCAAAGATATATTCAGTTGAACTAAAAAGGGTGGAATTTTCAGAACATTCACATTTGGATGTTTTTGAAAACTACATAACTATCTTAGATACTGAGGGAGACATTTTTAACCTTATATATTAGGGAAATCAATCTTACTGGAGGAAGAAATTTAGATCTTAGATTCAATAGGTTAATAACTTTGTCTGACTTATCAAAAATCATACCTTGCTCTTCTTGCTGATTTCTAACCTGAATCTTACAAGTTTTTCTCTTTAAGTGGTTTCCCTAGGCCTTTTTCACTATTTTGTTATTTCTTTTCATAAAGCACAGATCTCCTCTTCATATACTTTCCTAAATTTCTTCAAATTTTCTTTCTATCTTTCTTTCTTTCTTTCTTTCTTTCTTTCTGTCTGTCTGTCTGTCTTTCTGTCTTTCTTTCCAGTTAGAGTCTAAGGTTCATAATGACAATAGTCTTGGTTTTTGCTCATGAGCATGAGCACAGACCCTGAAAAATTAAAAGTGACATTATATAGACAGGGAAGGTTGGTGTGTGTGTGTGTGTGTGTGTGTGTGTGTGTGTGTGAAACCAAAAAGATTCCATGTAATCAAAATAGTGTTAATATAGTTTGAAGGTCTGTAGGAATGATTTACTGTCTGCAGTCCAACAATGATTGGTAATGAATGGAAATTCCAAAAATCGTAGTTTCTAAAGCCATTAATGTTATATAAGTCTATATAAGTTTAGTTATCTCCTTGCTATGCTTTGAAATATTTTTGCAACAGCATGTATTATATTAACTTTTAGTAGGTAATTTACATATTCATGAAGACTTCTTTCATAGATTTAGCTGAAACTTCCAAAATTTCTTCACTTTTTGTCCTTATGGTGTTCCCTTGTGTCCCCACAATAGAAGTAACTGATTCTCAGCAGAATGTAACTTCAGCCATAGCAGAAATAAACTCAAGTTATCAAATTCTGTGTCACTATTTGTCTTTTGTTCCCATCTTCTTAATCTGAGAAAACTACAGGCGTTGCTGTGCAGAGGGAGAGAAGCAGAAGCCCTGTAAGAACAGATGAGAACTACCTTCCCTGCTGTGTGACCTCTATAAGTGGAGGATGAGAGGAGGGTGCAAAAGAACTTGGACATGAGACGAAGTGTCAGAACTGAGGTGACCTGAACATGTGGAATCTGTCTGAGAGAGAACTAAGGTAGACTATGGTTGAAGACTTATGTTATTGGAGAAATACAGAGTCATTTCATACTTGTGTCCTAACAGGGTTTTGGACTGTTTAAAATTCAAGATACTTAGAGAGACTGCACTTAAACTTCTCTTGCTTAACATTAGACTGAAAAGTTCCTTGGAGAGAACAGTTTTCTCCTGAAACCTACTCCCAAACTTCTATCTTCTTTTTAAAATGAGTTTAGAGATTAACAGCAATCTCTTGTTGCTCTAAGTTCAGCTGTCTTGACTCATCCCTTCTATAGTATGAGTGTAATAATCTTATTGGCAAGTCAAAACACTAAGTTTGGAAAGAATATCACAATACCATGAATCAATTTTATATTAAGTCTACCAAAGAAGGTGTGACAAGATTTTGGGTTGTATTTGGCATTTTTTCATTTTATTTATTATTCTCTCATAAAATACTTCCTGAATGCAGCCTCCTCTCCCTCCATTCCTCCCAGTACTCTCTTACCTCCCCTATCCCCTAGATCCACTGTTCCTTCATTTCCCTTCAGCAAAAAGAAGACCTTCTAGGGATATCAATAGAATAGGACATAGAAAGATATCATGTAACTAGGCATAAATTATCATATCAAGGTTAGACAAGGCATTCCAGTAAGAAGGAAAGGATCCTAAGAGCAGGCAAAAGAGTCTCATAAACACAAAACAGAAACCAAAAACCAAAACATAATTAAGGTTTTATTTTTTATGAAGAAATTCATTATACCCATGTGTGCATACAAAAGATAAAATCAAAGTTGAGTAGTGGTGGTGATGGCCCATGCCTTTAACCCTAGTACTCAGGAGGCAGAGGCAGGTCTTCAGTGAGTTCCAGAACAGACAAAACTACACAAAGAAACCCTGTCACAATTAACAAAGCATTAAAAACAACCCAAAACAAACAAGATCAAAGGAAGCATTGATAGTCTGGATGAACAGGAACAATCCTATTAGTAGCTGAATGGGTATATGCTTAACAGTTGTTGTTATGGATGACTCTGCACTTCAGAATCTCAAGATAAGTAGCAACCTTGACAGTGTCACTGTGTAGGCATCGAAACAGGTTACTAAGAGCAAAATGGTGAGTGTCTTCATTGGCTGACCTCACCTCTGCCAGTCCCATCCAAGCAGGGTAGACATTTTCTTCAGCCCCAGGATGAACCTAATTACCAGAAGGACAGAAGGATACACATTATTTGTAGTAGTCAGTAGTTCTTACACTTCCCGTGTGTGTGTGTGTGTGTGTGTGTGTGTGTGTGTATGTGTGTTTGTGTGTGTGATACATGAATGTCCAGCTCTGTAGGTGTGCATCCATTAATTTGAAGGCCAGTGGTCTACTGGGATTAAAAGCATAAACCATCATATCCATATATCCATTTTATGTGGATTCAGGGAAATAAAATGCAAGGAAGGCTTTTATATATCAATCCCCAGTCCTAGTCTATATTCCCTATTTCAAAATAACATTTGAGGTAAACTTAGATGTAGAAGATTTCCCTCTAAATCAATGCACTGGAACAAATGATTGTAAGATCTATTTTCTGTTGATTTTCCTGGTATATATTGTAATTTAAGAAAAGCAGCAGGCAACAGAAAGTCACCATGCCAGAGGGTTCAAAAGAGGTGTTTTTCTTTTCTTTTTTAAATTAGGGAAAGGGATCATAAAGAGGAGAAAGGAAAGGAGTTTGGGGACAGGATCAGCCAGAGAGAGAGAGGAGAAAGGAAAGACAGAGAGAGAGAGCGACAGAGAGAGAGAGAGAGAGAGAGAAAGAGAGAGAGACAGAGAGAGAGACAGAGAGAGACAGAGAGAGAGACAGAGAGAGAGACAGAGAGAGAGACAGAGAGAGAGAGAGAAACACAGAAAGAAACACAGAGAGCAAAAGAAAGAAAGGATAGGAAGAAGAAACAAAGCACAAAATGCGAGACATGGAACAAAAATCAAACCAAAAAATGCAAGAAATGGAAGAAAGAACAAACCAAAAAATTCATAAAAGGCAACAAACGGACGAACAGATAAACAGAAAATTGCAAGAAGCAATGCAAACACTGCAAGGGTTGAAAACTGATATAGAGACATTTAAAACAACACAATCTGAAGAAAGGCAGAAAATAGAAAAGCTGGACAAACAGTCAGGCACTACCAATACAAGCATTACCAACAGAATAGAAGAGATGGAAGAGAGAATCTCAAGTGTTGAAGATACACTAGGAGAAATGGATTTATCAACCAAAGAAAACCTTAAATCCAACAACTCCTTAACACAAAACATCCAGGAAATATGGGACACCATGAAAAGACCAAACCTAAGAATAATAGGTATAGAAGAAGGAGAAAAAATCCACCTCAAAGGGGCAGAAGGCATATTCAACAAAATCATAGAAGAAAACTTTCCCAACCTTAAGAAAGACATGCCAATGAAGGTACAAGAAGCCTACAGAACACCAAATAGAGTGGACCACAAAAAAAATCCCCTCGCCACATAATAATCAAGACCCCAAACATACAGAATAAAGAAAGAATATTAAGAGCAGCTAAGGAAAAAGGTCAAGTAACATATAAAGGCAGACCTATCAGAATTACACCTGATTTCTCCATGGAAACTCTGAAAGCCAGAAGGTCCTGGATAGATATTCTACCTACACTAAGAGACCATGGATGCCAGCCCAGACTACTATACCCGGCAAAGCTCTCAATCACTATAGACGGAGAAAACAAGATATTCCATGACAAACTAGATTCAAGCAATATGTGTCCACTAACCCAGCCCTACAGAAAATTTTGGAAGGAAAACTCCAACCCAAGGAAGCTAACTACAACCAGAAAAGCATTAGAGAATCCCACTCTACCAACAGCCAAAAGAACAAAGGGGTGAAATTCCACACATAATTCCACCAACAACAACCATCGCAAATCGAAGAAGGATGAGCAATCAATGGTCATTAATATCCCTCAATATTAATGGCCTTAACTCACCCATAAAAAGACACAGACTAGCAGAATGGACTCGAAGACAGAACCCTTCCTTCTGCTGCATACAAGAAACACACCTCATCCTCAAAGACAGACATTACCTGAGAGTTAAAGGTTGGGAAAAAATTTTTCAATCAAATGGACCCAAGAAACAAGCAGGGGTAGCAATCCTAATATGTAACAAACTAGACTTTAAAATAAAATCAATCAAAAGAGATGAAGGAGGTCATTACATACTCATCACAGGTGAAACCCACCAAGATGAAGTGTCTATCCTGAACATCTATGCCCCCAATACAAAGGCATCCACATTTGTTAAAGAAACATTAGAACTTAAATCTCATCTGAAGCCCCACACAGTTATAGTGGGAGATTTCAACACACCACTCTCACCACTAGACAGGAATACCAGACAGAAACTCAACAAAGAAGCAAAGGGTCTAATAGAAGTAATCACCCAACTGGGATTAACAGATATCTATAGAACATTTCATCCACATAAAAAAGAATATACCTTCTTCTCACCACCACATGAAACCTTCTCAAAAATCGACCACATACTTGGCAACATATCAAACCTCATCAGCTACAAAAAAAAATTGGAATAACTCCATGCATCTTATCAGACCACCATGCCTTAAAATTAGAATTCAACAACAACACAAATTGCAGAAAACCTACAAACTCATGGAAATTGAATAATGCTCAACTGCACCATCCCTGGGTCAAAGAGGAAATAAAAAAAGAAATTAAAGACTTCTTCGAATTCAATGAGAATGAAGACACAACATACCCAAACCTATGGGACACTTTGAAAGCAGTGCTACGGGGGAAGTTCATAGCACTAAGTGCTCACATGAAGAAACAGGAGAACGGTTATACCAGAGAATTAACATCACAGCTAAAAGCTCTAGAACACAAAGAAGCAAACTCCCCCAGGAGGGGTAGATGCCAGGAAATAATCAAACTGAGGGCTGAAATCAATAAAGTAGAAACCAGGAAAACAATACAAAGAATCAATGTAACGAAGAATTGGTTCTTTGAGAAAATCAACAAGATAGACAAACCTTTGTCCAAACTTACCAAACAGCAGAGAGTGAACACGCAAATTAACAAAATCAGAAATGAAAAGGGGGACATAACAACAGACTCTGAGGAAATCCAGAGAATCATTAGGTCATACTTTGAAAACCTGTACTCCACAAAATTTGAAAATTTAAAGGAAATGGATGACTTCCTGGACAGCTATCATTTGCCAAAACTAAGTCAAGAACAGATAAGCAATTTAAATAGACCTATAACCCCTATGGAAATAGAAGCTGTCATCAAAAGTCTCCCAACCAAAAAAAGTCCAGGTCCAGATGGCCTCAGTGCAGACTATTACCACAAATTCAAAGAACAGCTTATACCAATTCTTCTCAAAGTGTCCCACACAATAGAAGCAGAAGGGTCTTTGCCAAACTCTTTCTATGAGGCTTCAATAACCTTGATCCCCAAGCCACACAAAGATACAACTAAGAAAGAGAACTTCAGACCAATATCCCTCATGAACATTGATGCAAAAATACTCAATAAAATACTGGCAAATCAGATCCAAGAACACATCAAAACAATCATTCACCACGATCAAGTAGGTTTCATCCCAGGGATGCAGGGATGGTTCAACATACGAAAATCCATCAACATAATCCACCATATAAACAAGCTGAAAAACAAAAATCACATGGTCATCTCACTAGATGCTGAAAAAGCCTTTGACAAAATCCAACACCCCTTCATGATAAAGGTCTTGGAGAGATCTGGGATAACAGGGACATACTTAAACATAATAAAATCTATATACAGTAAACCAACAGCCAACATCAAACTAAATGGACAGAAACTCAACGCAATTCCTCTAAAATCAGGAACAAAACAAGGCTGTCCACTCTCTCCATACCTTTTCAACATGGTACTTGAAGTTCTAGCTATTGCCATACGACAACAAAGGGGGATCAAGGGGATACAAATTGGGAAGGAAGAGGTCAAACTTTCACTGTTTGCAGACGATATGATAGTTTACATCAATGACCCAAAGAACTCTACCAGGGAACTCTTACAGCTGATTAACACCTTCAGCAAAGTAGCCGGCTACAAGATCAACTCAAGAAAATCAGTAGCCCTACTATATACAGATGATAAAAGGGCTGAAAGAGAAATCAGAGAAACATCACCCTTTACAATTGCCACAAACAACATAAAATACCTTGGGGTAATGCTAACCAAACAAGTGAAAGACCTGTATCGTAAGAACTTTGAATCTTTAAAGAAAGAAATTAAAGAAGCCCTCAGAAAATGGAAAGATCTCCCATGCTCTTGGATAGGTAGGATCAATGTAGTAAAAATGGCAATCCTGCCAAAAGCAATCTACAGATTCAATGCAATCCCGATTAAAATCCCAGCACAATTCTTCACAGACCTTGAAAGAGCAATAATCAATTTTGTATGGAAAAACAAAAGACCCCGGATAGCCAAAACACCCCTGTTCAACAAGGCAATGTCCGGAGGCATCACCATCCCTGACCTCAAGCTCTATTACAGAGCTATAGTCCTGAAAACAGCTTGGTATTGGCACAAAAATAGACAGGTAGACCAATTGAAAATCCGGGTATTAACCCACACACGTACGAACATCTGATATTTGACAAAGAAGCTAAAAATATACAATGGAATAAAGAAAGCATCTTCAACAAATGGTGCTGGCATAATTGGACCCTGGCATGTAGAAGAATGCGGATCGATCCATGTTTATCGCCATGCACAAAACTTAAGTCCAAATGGATCAAAGACCTCAACATAAATCCAGCCACACTGAACCTCTTAGAAGAGAAAGTGGGTGGTATCCTTGAACGAATTGGTACAGGAGACAGCTTCCTGAGCATAACACCAGTAGCACAGACAGTGAGATCAACAATTAATAAATGGGACCTCCTGAAACTGAGAAGCTTCTGTAAGGCAAAGGACACAGTCAGCAAGACAAAAAGGCAGCCCACAGAATGGGAAAAACTATTCACTAATCCCACATCTGACAGAGGGTTGATCTCCAAAATTTACAAAGAACTCAAGAAGCAAGTCTCCAAAACAGCAAAGGACCCAATTAAAAAGTGGGCTGCAGAACTAAATAGAGAGCTTTCAATAGAGGAGTCTAAAATGGCTGAGAAGCACTTGAGAAAGTGCTCAACATCCTTAGCCATGCGGGAAATGCAAATCAAAACAACTCTGAGATACCATCTCACTCCTGTCAGAATGGCTAAAATCAAAAACACCAATGACAATTTATGCTGGAGAGGATGTGGTGAAAGGGGAACACTCCTCCATTGCTGCTGGGAGTGCCAACTGGTTTAGCCACTTTGGAAATCAGTATGGAGATTCCTCAGAAAAATGGGAATAAACCTACTACAAGACCCAGCAACTCCACTCTTAGGCATATATCCAAAAGATGCCCATTCATACAACAAAGATGTCTGTTCCACTTTGTTCATAGCAGCTTTATTTGTAATAGCCAGAAATTGGAAGCAACCTAGATGTCCCTCACCCGAAGAATGGATAGAGAAAATGTGGTACATCTACACAATGGAGTACTATTCAGCAGAAAAAAAATAATGGAATCATGAGATTCGCAGGCAAATGGATGACACTAGAAGAAACCATCCTGGTTGAGGTAACCCAGTCACAAAAAGAGAAACATGGCATGTACTCTCTCATATATGGATTTTAGACATAGATCTGGGGAGTGCCAGCCTACAATCCTATGGCCAGAGAGTCTGGGAAACAGAAACTTCATTTAGTGGCTGGTTAAGTACTGAGCTGAACTCAAGAAAGCAGTAACAGAGAGGGAGGACTGATGATCAAAGGGATTAAGACTGGGCTGGTTTAACCCCCAGAAACAGCTGACGAGACAAAGGTTAACTCTTGAATCCCAGGCATCAGCCTGGGAATCCAGCATGGGACTGATCAAGACCCCCTGAATCTGCGTGTCAGTGAGGAGGCCTAGGGAATCTATTGAGCCTTGGGCAGCAGATCAGTACCCATCCCAAGTATACACATGGACTTTGGACTCCCATAGAACAATGTGAGGTGCACTCTCACCCTGAACTCTTGGGGAAGGGTCTAGGCCCTGCCCTATATGAAATGACAGACTATGGACACCCCATGGAGGGCCTCACCCTCCCTGGGGGAATGAGGGGATAACGGAGGGGGGGGTTGGGGGGAGGGTACGGGAGGAGGGGAGGGAATGTGAGAGGGACCTGGAACTGACTTGTGAAGCAACCTCGTTTCTTATCTAAATTTAAACTGGAAAAAAAAGAAAGTTATTTGAATGCATGTTAAACATTAATGTAGTTTTGAAAGGTTATATCTGATTTTTTTTACCAAAATAAATCTGGAGAATAAAAAAAAAAAGAAAGGATAGGAGGTGGGCAGGGCTCTTTTAAAAGGTCGCAGGTAAATGGATAGCACTGGAAGAAACCATCCTGAGTGAGGTAACCCAGTCACAAAAAGACAAACATGGTATGTTCTCACTCATATATGGATTTTAAGCATGGATCAGGAGAGTGCCAGTCTGCACTTCCACTGACAGAGACTCTGGGAAACAGGAAAGAACCTAAAAGATACACATGGTACCCAAGAGAAGAGAAATGAGGCAAGATCCTCTGGACAGATGGGGAACATGGTGAGGGGTGGGGGGAGGGGGACCTGGGAAATAGAGAGGGGGAGAAGTGGAAGAGAGAGTAGGTCATGGAGGAACAGGAAGGTTGACTAGGGGGGGTAGGATAGGGGGAAGAGTGAATCATAGGTTAGAAGACAGATCAGGCAGCATTGTGACCTCTAGTGATCTAAATGGATGACACCAATTGGCAAGCTAAGCAATAGTGTAGAGACCACCTCGAATGCCTATTCCTGATAGTGAACTTGATGTCTATAACCATCCTGGAGCCTTCATCCAGAGACTGATGGAAGCAGAGGCAAACACCCACAGTTAAATACTGAACAGAACCCAAGGAACCCAGCGACAGAGAGAGAGGAGCAAAGAGCAAATTGGCAAAGAATAGGCTGGCAAAACCAGCAGAGACAGCTGATCCCAACAGGGGAGAGCTCTTGGACCCTAGACTGACAGCTGGGAGGCCAGCATAGGACTGATCCAGACCCCCTGAATGTGAGAGTCAATGAGGAGGCCTGGGCTACCTATGGGGTCCTGAGCAGTGGACCAGTGTTCATCCCTCGAATACTTGCTCTATCTGCCTGGACCATTAGAGAAGTGTCTGGACCCTACCCTGTATGAAATGATAGACTCTAGATATACCCTATTCAGAAGGAATTGGCAATAGGGTGGGAGGATGGGAGGGATGGTGGGGGGGTGCAGGAGGAGGGGAGGGAGAGGGAACTGGGATTGACATGTAAAACAAGCTATTTAAAATAAAAAAATGTTAAAAATGGGAGCATAGTGAATATGCACACATGCTGCTCTTAGTGGATGCAGCTAAGGGCATGTCCTTTCAGAACCCAAGGACAGACTGATACAGATGTCTGAATGCTAACACTCACAAAGGATCCTCTGAATGTTGGAATTGCCCACAACTCCTTACTATCAAAGCTGTGAACAAATTGGAAACCTAAATTTAAATGTTGCAAATTACACAGCTTTAGATTCATTTGTCAATACAACAAAATACATCTTTCGTTAAAAAAAAAGAAGAAGACAAGAATGGAAGATACAGAGAGCACTCACCCTGACAAGGATTTCCTTAATTTCCTTTAGAAGTTCTTGGTTTTTTTCCTCTACCTCTTTGACTTTCAACCACATGGTCTCAAAGGCCCCTTTTAGAGCAGCCACTGCATTCACTAGGTGTTCCAGAGGGTGATACCAGGCTCGTGAAATGCTGATCATCACTTTCAGAAGGTCATCTAACTAAACAATCATGATTGAACATCAAGTTAAAACGAGTAAAACACAAGATGGTAGATACAAGCAGTATTTGTACAATCATGCTACATTATAATATCTATCTGTTGTTAATCAGTATACAGAAAGTGTTTTGGTAAATGACACATTATACAAATACAAAATTTAAGCCACAGAATTACAATTTGCTAAAATAAAAGCAAACAATAAATAAAAGATCATTTATTCCTGAGAAACCAAATGATCACATTTCGCTTTTCCTCTACATTCTATCATCTGCACTTACTCCTCGTCAGATCTTCTGTATTATGTTATTTCCCTTGTCTATGAAAAACAAACCTTTGCTGAGTCTAGGTATGTGTTCATAGGACCAAATGCAAATAAAAAGACTCCAGAATTATCAGTGGCAAATAGTCTACACCATTTTCATACTAAAACATCAAATTGGTCACTCATAATGCACTTGTAATTTTATATTATTCTAGGATATTAGAAACTACAATAAAAACAGAACATTCAAAAGCAGACTTTTTATGGTTCAACAATTCTTCCTTTCCTTGGCTTCTGGAAAAGAACCCAGCCTATTTATGGGCATATACAACAAAAGAACATTCTTGCCTTTAACACATTGATGTAAAACCATTGTATTTTACACACACACACACACACACACACACACACACACACACACATACACTCCCACACACACACTGTAGCCAGTGTGTGTTCATTACCAGGATCACACATGATATTCCTCACCAATTTAAAATATTTGCTGTGGTGTCTCTTAGCAACTCTAGTAGTAAGTACACTGGACAGTAGGGAGAAATCCAAGTAAATGTTGTGCTATATATATATATATATATATATATATATATATATATATATATATATATATACACTTGTGTGTGTGTGCATGTGTGTGTGTGTGTAAATAACATAAAGGAAAGAAGCAAGACAAATTGTGACAGCAAAACAGGTTGTTGGGAGCATGCTGTATGATGATTGAAAGTGATATCGTGAGGTGAATGAAGGACAGTTCCAAATTCTTATCTGGCTTTCAAGGTATATAAGGCCTGTGCAACCTTTTGAAGCCTCTCTTGATAAGCTTCCTAATGGTACCTTGTTTTAGTGCTCTTTGGTAAGGATTAAATACATCAGTATCAACAGAGTATTTTTTAAAGTATATACTTTTGAGGAAATGTTCTCTCTATCCTCCCTCTCTTCTTGATTCAATATAATCACACTTTTATTAATGGGAATAACTTCTGTCTAAGTGATAGATGATACTAATAAAATAATAACAAACAGATTGCATATATGATATATGTACACATATTAGTTTAGTTTAAATTATACTGAGATTTCCTCTGACAGGGAGTCACAGTGGATATATCATAACAATTACCCATTAGAGCTTCGAAAATAAGTACATCTCATCAAAACAGAGGTTAGGTTGAGGCAAAAGATACAGTATGAAGAGAGCCTCTTTTTCAGCTGACTTTAATTATAACAGAAAAGAAGGCAGAAAAGTCAGAAAGGACTGCACAGTAATGAAAAGCAAACAGAAATAGGAGAGTATTGAATCTCAGAAAGAAATGACATTCTGGTCAGTTAAGAAATATTCTGGCAGTGGAGGAGCCCTTTTATTATAAAAAATGCAACTGTATTTGCATTCCACACATGCATGAATCTATATTCATCCAGGAATGTTCAGCTTAGATTAAAGGAAGTACAATTCTACAAGCATGGCACTGACTAAAAAAGATGTCCTGTGTATAGCTCATTTATTAATCTCCTACGGTCTGAACAAGCATGGATTTTATCTTATAATTTGTTAACTGTATAATGCTATTTTTGACTGTTCATTCTTCTCTTTTATGTTTGGTATGTTATAGCCACTCCTACAAAACACCCAAAATAACCTACAGCACAGTAAACCTTGGGTACTGCTTCAGTTGTTTTGGTGACAACCAGGAAGAAAGATTTACTTGTGTCTGTTGGATTTGTTCAATGTTTTCTGGAGTAGCAAGGGAAGCAGTGTGACAGGTGCTGGAGTTCCTGTCTTTGTATCCCAGGCTTTTGGCAAAGTTTTCATCCTGGAAGTAATAAAATATTTCAGTTTATTGGAGTTTCTGAATTAAGGAAGTACACTTATGATAATTACATAAATGTATTTTATAGATTGTAATTCATAACAAATAAGCACTACCTAAAATTAAATAATTAAGCAAACATAATCTACTTACATATTCTTCCTATTATATACACAATTTAATTTTTGTCTCAATTTCTAATCACCTAACTTTTTCACTCTCTACTATTTTCTTGTCATTTCTGCCCTTCCAGAAAATTAATTCAGAAATAAAGTTATATAAATACTAACACTGTAAAACACAAAAGTTTTACATGTTTTACTTTTGAGGTGATTGAGGTGAGCTGAATGACATGGACTAGTGTCTTAGTTAGGGCTTCTATTGCTGTGAAGAGGCACCATGGCCATGGCAACTCTTATAAAGGAATAATATTTAATTGGGTTAGATTCCATTTTCAGTGGCTTAGTCAATTATCATCATAGTTAGGAACATGTTGGTGGAGAGTATGGCGGCATGCAGGCAGACATGGTATTGGCTATGTCTTGACTTTCATGTAACAAGAACAGATGTGTCTTAATGGAGGTGGCTTGAGGATATATGAGACCTCAAATCCTGCCTCCACAGTGACACACTTCCTCCAACAAGACCACACCTATTCCAATAAGGCTATACCTCCTAAAAGTACCACTTCCTTTGGGGGCCATTTTCTTTCAAACTCCCACAATTTGTGTATCCATATTTATAAAACTATTGTTTACTTTTGTTCTAAAATGATATATTTGAGGCTAACTGAACAGATATTTTTTCTTTACATGGATCAGAGTAGTTCATTTCTATTCCTTCCACACAATCTCTGCAATGTATTTTATTTATGATACACATCAACTAAGTAAAAAGTGACCATGAAGACTAGACCTTCCATACAAGACCAGAAAACCAGAGTTATTCTCTCACCTCACTTTTAGGACTTACAGTCATAAATCAGAGTTGAGAGACAGTCATTTTTTACTAAAAATTAAATTAATTAATAATAGAAAAATATTTCTTTACACAATTATTTAAAGTTATTTTAATATTTAAAAGTCTTAGCTGGGAAACCAGCATAGGACTGACTGGGTGTCAGTTAGGAGGCCTCGGCAATCTATGGGACCTCTGGTAGTAGATCAGTATTTATCCCTAGCAAAAGAATGGACTTTGGGAGCACATTCCACATAGAGGGATACTCTCAGCCTAGACACACGGGAGAGGGCCTAGGCCCTGACCCAAAAGATATGACAGTCTTAGAAGATCCCTAATGGAAAACCTCACCATCCCTGGGGAGCAGACAGGGGACGAAAAAGGGAGTTAGTGGGGGGCAGGAGAGGAGAGGAGGAAGAGGGAACTGGGATTGACATATAAAACAAGTGTTTCTATTTTAAATAAAAAATTCTTTGAGATCTCATCAAATTTCTCATTCTTCCTGTACCATTTCTCAATATCTGATACTTCATTTTCAGTCCCATGAAGGCATATTATCTGAAATTTTGTTCATGATGTTTTCTGGTTTAATCTATAGAATGTTTGAAGAGCCCTTTAGAGAAGAAATCTGAAAGAAATTAAGTACTCACAAACTCCTCAGACATTTGTCTAGTGAGGTTAGAGGTGTATTGAGCCTTGATAATTGCACGATCAAAGAGTTCTTCAATTGTCAATTTGTTGTATTCTTCTATGTCAAGGCATACGGGTACAGAGACCACATACTCCCATAGGAGAAGGTTTGACACTAACAGAAGCTGAAGCATCCCTGCCATAAAGAAAAAATCACATCCAGATGATTCTTTCAAATCAGTTACATGAATTAAACTCTCTAGTGAACTCTATCTGTTCTGGGAATCCTGGCCTTCATGATTTCCTTCTGTATAACTACAGTGGGACAAAAGATTTGTTCACTGTGAAAATGTAATTAATATTTCCCAAATACATAGTTGGAGAGTTGGGTGACTTCTCACATCGTTGACTTGCTCTTGAAGTACTTTGCAAACATTTGGCGCATATATTGATACTGATCCACAATATTTAGTCCTCTTCACATTTTTATAACTTGTGATTTTATGCTTCTCTTAATTTATAACATCATCCAGTTTGTAATTTTACAAACTCAATGTCTAATGTCAGCATTTTGGACACTTATGTCACAAGGAGCACAGTTCTGTTTGCTTTATCTTCATGTCTGATGAGAACAGACGCATGCCTGTAGGATTACTAACAATAAGAATGAAGAGTGTTCTGTCATAAAGATTATGTCATAGTCTGGAATTGCAAGGTCACAATGATTATCTTTCTTATTTGCTATTTTAACAAGCCATTTGCTGTTTTTTTCTTTGAAACTGATCTGTGCATAATCACTGTTTGTAATTTTCATCAAACTGTATTAACTGTATAAGGCTGGCATGCACAAGAGATTTCCCCACAGTTCTATCACAGATGCTGAGAGAGTCAGTCAGTACACCAATACCACAGACTTACCAATTCACCTTTTCACATGGTGGACACCTGTGGTTTTTCACCACGTATGTGTGTGGCAGAGACTTTTGTGAACCCATCTCCATGTCACCCAAGATCACTCTCATTATTTAGAAGGATCAACATTTTGCACTTGTATTTGATTACAGACAAACTAGACAACATTACATCCTAGACATCACTACAACAGACAGCCTAGAAGAATTAACTTTATCTATTTTCCTGTTCTACAAAACACTTACTTTAAAATATTTGAAAATGATCAGTGATTCTTTCACTAATTCATTGATTCATTTGTGATCAGAGAGAGAACTCTAACATATCAATAGTTACAGTCTCAAGAGGATTGAAACATGTAAGTGCCATGTTAAAATCTCCCCTCTTTTTAACTATATACAATGTTATAATTAGAATATAGTCATTCAAATATTTACTAAACTGAAAAAGTTATAATCGCTGTAATGCAGCCCATATTAAAATAACATTTCTCTAACACATCAAGTGATGTTTAGACAGTTATACCATAATACTTGTAAAATTTCAGCCACATTCCTCTACATCTGAGGCCTAATACAGGAGAAAAAAATCAGAAGCACAAACTTCCAAACTTGGAATTTATTTAAGTATGGCTACAAAAGTTAATGGTCCTAATAAGCAAAATACAGATCATATATAGCTCCTTCATCAAGGCTGAATTAAAAATAGTTTTAAAATTTTGAAATGATAATATAATTATATTTTACATTTTCTGTTACTTGCTGACACCCTCTCATATTCCCCTCATTGGTCTCTCAAGTTCATGGCATCATTTCTCATTAATTGTAATCATATGCATTTGTGTATATATGTACATATATTCCTAAATATATCCTGTTCAGTCTGTATAATATTACTTGTGTATGTGTTTTCAGGGTATACCATTTGGTATTGGATAACCAATTGGTATGATATTCCTTGTCGAATACTACTTCTCGTACTCCTTTGAACATTTGTGACCCTTATAAACAATTTATAAAATACAAAGTATATTTTTTAGGAACTTACATTTCATTTAACCTTTCACAAAAGTAGCAAAAATATATCTAGCATATAACTAGGTCAATGCTAATGATTTGTGATTGGAAAAGTAGCTGAACACCAATAGTATACATCCTGAAATGTTCAAAAATTTGTATAATATATAATATAAGTAAACAATATTTTAGAAGCAGAATGAAAAAATGGTTAGTTTCTTTACATAAATTAATTTTCCTAAAGCATGATACAAATAATAATTTATATACACACAAAGAGTTATAACCAACTAAGAATCTGAGAGTATGAGTAATAGACTTCCCAGGTGAGAGCACATCAGTTGTTTATGTAATACCAAATGGTCAACTTTAAAAACTTACATTCAATTAACAATATACAGACTGAATAGGTTATATTTAGGAATATGTATGTATGTACATACACACATTACACATAATAACAAATAATGAAAAAAAGAGACCATAAATTTCAAAGAGAGCAAGAGGAATACAGTGGAGGGGTTGGAAGGACGAATAGGAACGGAGGAATGATTTAAATATAATCTCAAAGTTAAAAAAGAGTTTACTTCATGTAACATGCTTGTTATAGGTGTTTACAGTATAAGATAATATAAAATGTCAAATAATTCTGTTGTGTATTTCATAAAATAAATTTTGGCTGTCATCAATTCATTTTGCATGAAAATGCAATCTATAAGAAATGGAAATTTGTTAACAAAAGCTTGATTCTCTTGTTACTATAAGACTTAGCTTGTACTTAATGGGTTGAAGACACAAATCTTCTGTCATTACCTGCATTAGGCTTTATAGCTGAAAATTTATTCAGGCTCATTCAAGTGACCAAACAGATGTATGTGACCCAGAAAACAAAAGATCATAGGTTCTACCTTCTGCAGTTGAGACAGTTGCATCATTGAATCTTGTGTTCTCAGTAAAGTCTGATTTCTCAATTAAGCAATCTAGTCATTTCTAGTTGAGTAATATCTTGTTTGGGAAGGTGTTCAACAGTATTTCTCATTAGATATTTGTAAAAATCCCCCCTTTTAGCCTCATGTTAATTAAGACCTTATAAAATGTCTTGGGACATTGTTATGTTTCTTGATCACAGGGAGAGTTCTTAAAAGACCACTGTCCTCAAAGATTATTGTGAAATTACATGCGAGAAAGTTACTTCTCCATTCTCTTGTGTTTTTGTTCTACATGTGAGACATGAATAAATTTCAAATTATAACAGATATGGCACCAAGGATACCAAAGATTGTGAGTTCTGTTCAAAACCATCTTGATGAAATAAAGCATCTATAAAGTTTACTAAGAAAAACATGATTAAAGGGCTACTTACAGGGGTGTGGTTGACTCAAATATGACTGCATCTCTAAGAAGTTTCTCCTCAGTGTTCTCAGCAACTCCCAAAAGCTACTTCACCAGAGTTCTGCCTTGACTGAACTCCTACTTCCTATATATATATATATACACACACACACACACAAACAGCAGCCCCATGGACAAACAGAATTGAGAGGCAAAGGGAATCAATGTTTACATGAGGGTGTCATTTTCTACTCTTCAAGGAACATCTGCATCTGCTTTAAAATTACCACAACCCATCTCTCCAAACATTGTTTTGTTTTTGCCCATACTATGTCTATCTTTCAAATAATCTTACAAGCCATCAAAGTTATCTGTGTCCTGAAATGACTCATATTCATGTCTGGCAGAAAAAGCATATTTGTTCCTTGATACATTTCCCTTAGTTCTTATGTTCTTTCTGTCACGTCTTCTACAACATTCCCTATGTTTTCAGAAGGTCGTAAGTGTATGTGATTGTTTTCCAGTATTGAGCTACCATGTAACAGTCATAGTCAATCAATTGTTTTTGGTATTTTAACCATGAACTGTGTCCAGAAATCAGTAGACATTATAATGTATTTCTAATTCAATGGCAGTTTTAGTAATCTACAGGATGAAAACTAAAGTTTGGAAGGCACATTGACATACATGTCATGACCATTGTTTATTATTCCACTGTTTACCAACTTGACACAGTTTCCAGGCTTGATGACAACATTAACATTTGCATCACTAGTAACTATACTGACAGTCCTACTGAAACAAATTTAATGGTGCATTTTGAAAATATGGAAGTAAATCAGTATCACTAGATCACTCTAAGACTACTTATTTTTACGTTATGAAATCAGATTGAGATTTGTATCTACAATATGATTGTTTTTAATTTAAATAAAAATGAAAAAAAAGAAATCAGACCATGTATTTCTTAAGCAGTGTGGTCTAAGCATTTAGTTATGGTGTACAGTCAGCAAAAGTGCCAACAGAATGAGTGGATTATGGTCTTCATGTGCCTTTCCTTCCAGTTAATCTTAGGGGAGAAACTGACCCCAGATACTGAAGTTTTACACCATAAACTTATGACTTCAAGCATAGCTTTTCCCATGCACTCTGGGTATCTAACAAATTCTTTAACTCCCAATTTCATAGTTCTTCACATGCATTTCCAAAACAGGAAGCAATACAGAACTTTGAACTGCATAGTAAGGATTTACAAATGGTGGCTAGATGCTAGATACAAGAAAGTGCAAATTGTTATGGGTATTCAGCATCTGAGGGGATAATAAAAATTCACAAGTTCTAATACAGTACAAAATACGACTCAAACATGAATCAACTGTTTCCTCCAGAGAGCAAGTTGAAGAGTTTAGCTTGGATAGGAGACATTGATTGATTTAGTTGTCTAATCTCTATCATCATTTTGCCTGAGCCTCTGTTTCCTTATCCTTGTATGTCGTATCTGACTATGTGGAAACAGTGGAGTTGGAACTGTTTCCAGAAAGGACACAAGAAGGATCAGATTCCACTAAAAGCAGTGTTCCTCCAGCTTCCTTTTGACTTATAACATGCTCTGTCTGTGGACTATTTACCAAGGCTGTGTGTGGGAAGGACTCAAAGAAAGAACAAGAAATTTTAACCTCATCAAATTCCCATTTCTCACATTATGTGAATTGTCTTAGACTATACCCACTTTACAAATGTTGTACAAAGCTTGTATTCAATGGTTCATTCATTTTTCAGTTTAATTATTTAAAGGAAGAAAATTTCTCAGAACAGTATGATGCAGAGATAAGTGTCCACCCTAGGACTAGCTAGACTGCAAAGGAACTCCTGCACCATTTATCTACTATGGATCCCCATTTGGCAGTCTTTTTCTTTTCTCAACTCATCTTTAC